TGGTTGGTTGGTTGGTTGGTTGGTGAGTTGGGTGGGTGGGCGAGTTGCGGTGTGTAGTTTGGTTGGTTGGTTGATTTTTATAGTTTGGCTGTCTAGCTGGTTGGCTGATGAATTGGGTGGGTGGGTGAGTTGGTGTGTTGTTTAATAGGTTGTTTGAATGATTGGTTGTTTGGGTGGTTGTTGGTTGTCTAGCTGGTTAACTTGGCTCATGGTAAATTTGGTGAGTAGGTGGGTTGTTTGATTGGTTTTCTCGATTGGTCGACTGTGGTTAATTATATTAGGTGGATGAGTGGTCAGTTGTTTGAATGATAGATTGACTGTTTTTTTTAGCTCCAGTTGTYGATTTGCCTATTGTTTTTGGTTTAGCTAGCTGCTGGCCCGTGTTAATTCAGGGTCGGGTTGTTCAAAGCCCGATTAGCGCTAATCCTGGGTTAACTTTTAGAAAAGTTATGGAGTTAACCCTGGATTAACACAAAACGGGCTTTGAGCAACCCGGCCCTGGATGTTAAATTAAGAGTCATTGTATCGATTGTGTCGACGGTTGATCGATATGTTTGTTTGGGTCCATTTGACATGGGTTCTTATAGATGATCTATAAGATAAATTCATATTAGAGTTTGATTCACAATTGCATTATCATATTTACCGTACCCACCGGTACGTCTGATGCGGCCCAAACCGGACCAACATTTACAACAAGAATCATCAACTCCTTGTAAAAACACATACAAAAAATAGTGCTAATCCAGAAAACCAGACTAATATAATAATGTTTCAAAATAATTGACGATTATAAAACTCGCGGCTACTTCCCTGTGAAGGCTCGTTTACACTTATCGCGCGATCATCGCCTGAGTTTCGAACATGCTTGAAATTTAGCTGCAACTTCGCGGAGATTTTCGATCGCCGCAACGAACGGAAGGCTGTTTACACGTACAATTTTAGGTGCGCGATAGACAATCGCTCTGCAAAAATCGCAAGTGTACAAGAAAAATATATCCGGCAATTTTTGTCATTTGTTCACTCTATTTCCAGGGAGTCGGTTCTACGAGATAGTGTATTTCAAAAACCTCACCACTGCAAAAGATTACACTTTTCATTTCATTCAAGTGGACATTCATTCCAACAACAATAAAGACGAGATTGCCCTCAAGGCTGCGAGAGAACTTGCCAAGACAGATGCAGATGTTATTCTCCTTTACGTGGATCAGGGGACGTTCTTGCTAAACACAGTAAGTTGTAAAATCAAAGATAAAATATTAGACTACTCGGTCTCATGGACTTAGAGTTGACATTCCATGAGACTATAAAAACGAGGGTTAAAAAAAATTCAACTCGTAATTTATCAAAAAAAAAAGCGCGCGGGAAAACTATCAATTCTTGACACGTTCGCGTCAGGCTCAGCGTTGTATTGAGACCTATTGATAATTGATAACCAACAAAACCATTTTTGGTTTTCTTGATCTCACATACCATAGTTCAGAGCCAATCAGAATGCTGGATTTTGATAGTCCATARTTTGATTGATTAGTAGTCATCATTGCAAGCGTTCGGACGCGCTCGCGTCAAGAATTGCTATTTTCCCGCGCTTTTTCAATACCTAATTTGATAAGATACTATTTGGCTTAAACTATCGMAATGAAATGAAATTTGCTGCTCAAGWTGCTTTTGTTTTCTTTGAATTACATATGCATTGCTTCAAACAGGCTTCSTACAAATATATTTACAATCTTTGGTATTTAGGGAGTCTGCTATCAGAGCAAGGTACAAGTCTGGATTATACAAGATTGGGTAAGTATGCCTTTTGTAAGCAATGGCGATTCGTAAGATAACAAGTGACCCTTACCAAAATATGCTTTCAATTTTGACCGAAAGTAAATTTTCATATGCTCAATTCAGCTTTTTTCATTGAATATCATTTACACTTACAAAGATTATAATTTTTTTGCACTGCATAAAAACACAGCTGTATAGATTCATAGATTCATATAGATTAGTATTAGTGAATTATCATTCAATCAATAACCTTCAAATAACTCTTGGTTTTGCTACGCGGACATTTTTCTCTCCTTTGTTGTTGTTGTTGTTGTTGTTGTTGTTGTTGTTTTGTTTTGTTATATTCTTCTTCTTTCTTATTCTTCTTCTTCTTCTTCTTCTTCTTCTTCTTCTTCTTCTTCTTCTTCTTCTTCTTCTTCTTCTTCTTCTTCTTCTTCTTCTTCTTCTTCTTCTTCTTCTTCTTTTTCTTCTTCTTCTGATAATCATTTTGCTCGTAAAGGTACCAAAGAATATAACAGCCAACGAAAACCACATGGTTGTCACGCTCAGCATTCCCTCTTCGACAAGAAACGTTCCATGGGGAGAAAATACGAGCCATCATGTACGTTGAATGTAATGTTGCGTATTATATGACTACAGTAAAACCCCACTTATACATTTCAAGCACCCTTCCGATAAGAACCATTGTAGCCTGAATTCTCAAAGTAGTTCCTTAATTTCCAAATATAAATTCAAATCTGTTTTATATCCTTGTAAACACTTTGAAATATAGCACTCCATGTTTTATTCTATCTGAGACTCTCAGTTAATACCCAGATTTTAGGTAATGCTGTACGTGTGACTCGTCATCTTATCTATCGCCACGTAATTCGGCTTTTATGATAGCGAAGACCAATACATCTTTACCTTCTATTTCACTAGCTATTTGACGACGAAACCTCAAACCTCGTTTATGAAGCAATTGATTTGGTTGCCATGGCACTGGTAAACGCCAAAAGAAATGGTTYCTGGTTGCTTGGAAACGATATTGTWACCTTAAATTCCAATCGACATGCCCTTTACAGCTACATCACAAAGGTAAGAGAGKCACACTAAAGCGTGAAAAATTACCAAAAGAATTTTACTAAACAACGCCAAATGGAGTGGATTAGACATCAACAACAAAAATAGGATTTGCATACACCAGTAGAATTTAGTACTATTTTAAAATAAACTTCTGAAGCTTTTATGAGATCTTTGTGATTTGCAGTGCTTTGGGGGATCAGTTTTTGAAGAAAACGTAAGAGATCCGTCATGTTTTGTCCCAAACATATCCTACAATGCATTGCGTATACGGTATGTGACGTTTAAAAGCTTCAGAGGTCTATTCAGATTAGACTCAGATTTGACAACGAGTACGAGATTGAGTGCGAGTACGAGTTTTTAAACCAGCTTTTATTGTGTTGTTCACGACTGGAATTCAAACGAATTCTTTTTTTTATTTCTTTGATGTTTCAATCTTCACAGGAATGCAATTCATTAGTAGCACACTCAGTTTTAAAGGCCAATTTTAAAACTCGTACTCAATCTCGTGCTCGTTGCCAAATCTGAAGTTCCCTATTAACCCATGAAACACAGCGAAAAGTCAATTATAATAAATAGAGGATATTAAGTATGGGCGCGCGTAGTTACGGATTTCATCCTCGAGTGTTGATCCATAGATATATCACGAGTAAGCGAACTCAAACTTATATCTAAAAGACAAGAATTAGGTCAATTTTGGACGGACTATCCATATGGTAAGCTTAATCCCATAGTT